TTTAAGTGGGGTTTTCACCACAAAAAAAAGATGTGTATATTAACATCTTTGGTTTGGATCATACTTATGTCACAAGACTGTGCACATTTAAATATATATATACACATATATACACATATATATGTATATATTGGTCTATGAAAATGTCTTTTTGTCTCAGCAAAAAAAAAAAATAGGGAAATAGTCCACTTCACTTTTTATTTTTATTTTTTTACAAACAAAAAAATTACCAGATAACTCTGTGATACTCTGAAGTGTGGTGTTCTGTATGAGTTGCCACTAGGGGGTGCACAAGATAGTAGGGGAATAGTCCACTTCACTTTTTTTTACAAATAAAAAAATCACCAGATAACTCTGTGATACCCTTAAGTGTAGTGTTTTGTACGAGTTGCCACTAGGGGGTGCACAAGATAAAAAATGTAATGGCAGTTTGGAGTTTGTTTTTTTTAAGTGGGGTTTTCACCACAAAAAAAAGATGTGTATATTAACATCTTTGGTTTGGATCATACTTATGTCACAAGACTGTGCACATTTAAATATATATATACACATATATACACATATATATGTATATATATATATATGAAAATGTATTTTTGTCTCAGCAAAAAAAAAAAAAAAAAAACCATGTTAAATCTTGGTCCTACGTTTCTAAAAGGAGAGACTGATTTTCCTATGTTAAATCTTGGTGCTTTGTTTCTAAAAGGAGAGACTGATTTTCCTTCATAATCTGTTAGTCGTGAGTGAACAATTACATCCGGCACGTTCCCTGGACACCTTATCAGAGTATGACTCTGACTCATGACAGGGACAACAGTAAGAAGAAAAGGATTAGTGTGTGATAACAACTGCCTGAGGTATAATATGCACGGAGCAGTTTATCATTGTACCACCTTCTTTAATTCCCCTCCTCTCCTGGGATTGACCCTAATTGCAAAAGAGGGCATTAAAGATGCAGTCCATTATCCCCTCATGTTCCAGCACCAGGTACACTGGGACAGACGGAGCAGGCACAATGAAAGGACGACACTCATAAAATCACTATCTGGAAATGAGAACACGATGATGAGGAAAGATAAAGTGGCTCCACCTCAAGCAACACAATGATGAAGCAACATGGAGCCAGTGCTGAAGTCAGAGCACGGTGAACAGCTGTTACTGTCAGTGGGAACTAATGTGTACTGTATATAAGCTGCAGCGTAAACATCCTGCTCAGATTTGACTGCAATTCTGATGCTAGAGCTCAGACTGACAGGTCATCACTAACCACTGCACTACAGTCATCCAACAGTAACATTAGTCCAACTGTGCGGCTGCTGGGCTCTATGCTAAATTGCGGTGCTGTGTTGAAAAAGAGCAACACAATCCTTGGACAGGAAAACAATTTGAAAAAGAAAGACACTTATGAGAAATGGTGGCGAGGCGGGCGACCTTCTGGGTGCCTTGTTTGTGGTAAGACAACTGCTGTAATCTCGCCTAACAGCAGCAAAAGAGGCTATTATCATTGAACACCAGCATGCTGCACATGTCCACACACACACACACACACACATACACACACACACACACACAGGTGTCGCCACAATAGATGTGGAGACCTCATTAGTTTCCTGAGACCAGGTTGAGCGCAGGCCAAGGCCGACTCACCAGCCACACAAAACTGAGTTAAATGCTAAATGGAAGTTTGCAGATTGTGTTCATAATGGAGCCGTATATCTGCACCAACCACCAACTCACGCAGCTTTGTGATTATAGAGGTGTGCTGAAAGTCAGGCCCGGGGCACTGCTACAGTCCAGTATCTTTAGTCAATCTGCTGAGCTCTGAGGCTCCAGTGCCATTAAAAGGGATGGCTGTCTTTTTTAAATGGAAATCAAATTGCTTAGGGACCAGATATGCAGACATAAGGTGGACATGTCCCACATGGAACCCTGAAGAAATGGATTTCAGGACAATTTGGAGCACAATTGATTAGACATAATTGTGAACTGATAAGGAATGGTCTTGGAAACCTGGGGGGAGTGAAGGTATCGATGCTGGAAAATCACTCCTTCACTCCGCACTTCACAGATACATGGACGTGTCTCTGGTGACTCCACAGGCTTCATGTCTCTCTGTATTTGTACAGCTTTATTATCTCAGTCCTCTCTTCACCGTCTCTCTTCTGTGCCGACTTTTTCTTTAATTAATACTCAATCATTAGAAACCTTTATGGAACGCAAATCGAGAAACCCTACCAGAGATCAGCTGGTATGGCTCATCAACTGTAGGTTAGTGGAGATACTTGATATTTTCTATTTTATCCAGACAGAACCTTTAAACTGCACATGTTGCTGAAGGTGAACCGGACACTCTACTGTAACTCAGTGTGTATCAGGTTTAGTTTGAGATTTTTTTTTTTTTTTAGTCTCCAGTTTTTCTTTGAATGCCTGAAAAGTTATAAATAAACCAGTAGTACCAGTACAATTCACTATTTTACTGCAGTGAAATAAAATTCACCTCTCTCTCTCTCCCTCCCTTTCTCTCTCTCTCTCTCTCTCTCTCTCCCTCTCTCTCTCTCTCTCTCCCTCTCTCTCTCTCTCTCTCTCTCCCTCTCTCTCTCTCTCTCTCTCTCCTTCCATCTCACTCCATATCTTAAATCTTGAATTTCTCATGTTTCCACTGTTTTTATATTAGTTTTACCAAGTGCTTTTATATGCACCTGATAAATAAATAACCTCATGACTAAATGAAACAAAGATTTGTGCCATAACAAAAACGTCCATTAATTCTGACAAAATTCAACGTTGGTTTCCTTCTCCTCCAGCCACGATCGTTTGACACGTGGAAGCGGGGTTAATGCCCTAGCCCATTGTTTCCCAAAGACTGGGTCGCGACCCTCAGGTGGGTCACAAGAGATTTTTTTTGGGGGGTCATCTCGCATCATGTTTCCACGGTCATCACAACAACAACAGCTGTCTGCATCCAACCTCAAACTCAGTCAATACTAATTGTTCAGATATCACTGGGTCAGCAATAAATAAATAATTAATTAATAATCACTTGAAGAAAAATGAAGGAATGGACAATTGTCTTCATCAAACATCCATCCATCCATCCATCCATCCATCCATCAATCCATCTTCTACAACGTGATACTGATCGCTGTAAATCCAAGCTGACAACAAATTATTACACAGGCTGTAAATAAACCATTACTAATAGGTCAGGGTCCAGACACAATAGAACCACTAGAGGGAGCTGGCCCCTGCCTATACATGGCTTCACACACCCAACTGAGAAGGACTTTGTAGCCCACCACTGTTTTTATCAACCACCGAATAAAAACAGTTTTCTATTTGTCCCTCAGTAAACGCTTTTCTACAGTAGGTAGAGAGAGGTAAGCTGTGGTTGCCATGCCAACAATATCCTCTGCATTCACTCCTTCAAAGTATGAGCGTACGTATGTGTGTGTGTGTGTGTGAGAGAGATATGATAAATATGGGTTTTCAAAAAGATCATGACATGTGATGATGGTTAAAATACTGTAGCGTTCCACAGGTGGACCTTTATTACTCACATCTAACATTATCCTGACGTCACTCTCCGTTAGTGCCCCCTGTCTGCCGCTAACTGTATGTCGAACTAAATTCTTTTCCCTCCTTCACGCCCACACAGCGTGCCTTATTTCATAACCTACACCCCCTCAGCTGTGCTCTTCTCCGTGTCTTCATCTTATCCATTTTTTAAAGGAGAGGAAAATCAGTCCAGATATGTTTCATCGGATTCTGTGAAACCGACGGATCCACGGAGAACATTTAGAGGTGTTTTTGGATCCTCCAGGGAATTAAGCCCACTTCTTTTTGAGTCCAGGCTCATGCTTTGATGTTTGCATTGAAGATGAGAAAAGATTATTTCAAAAATAAATTACCACACAGTTAAAGTCCTTTTTAAAGCCCTGGTTGTATTTTCAGGGTTTCCGGCCAATGGGCATTTTCTACCTGTGTTGAAAATTAAATTCTAATCGTTTAATTACAAATTAATTATTTGATCATTTTAAAATATTGTCAGTGTTTTTTGTAAGTTTTTAAGTCAAGAACTTAAACATGAATGTGTTTTTGTTCCACTTTTACTCTGGCATTAAACTGATTTTTTGACATTTTGCTACCTTTTAATAACTTCCACTCTAATTGTTATTTGCAGAGGGTTTTTTTTTTAATTAAATATATTTTAGGGTTAGGGTTAGGACCGGCGTTAGAAAATTATCTAAGAAAGAAATGCCAGAAATTCCTCTTTGTGTCACACTTTCTGTCAAATGAAGGTTTAGGACCTGACTCCACTCACCTTGTGAATAATGTTATTACCTAAAGAAAAATTAAATTCCACATTAACAATGTCATTACTCAGACTACGGCGTGGACACATCACGTGTTGGTTTCTACTGTTGGTCTTCCATTCTCTCCTAAATTAGATTGTACTAACACCGAAACCCAGATCTAATAGAATCACAGCCATATGGATTCAATGCTTCTTCTGTGACAGACTTAAACACCACTAATCCTATTACCCAAACATTATTAAGGGTTCATTTCAACGCCATTGTTCCATTTATGGATCACAAATTCTCCTCACGCAGCCCGGCCTGCGCCAAACCTCACGTGTCCCGAACCCACGGAGTTGGTATTTCATTGGCTTTGTACTCTATCACACTGTGAGTCGTCTCTGAGTGGAGTCAGCTCGCTATCAGCTGCTGCAGCTCGACGTCAGTCTCACAGAGGAGGCCAATCAACAGCAGAATCAATCAGCAGATCGACTCAGTCAGGATGGAAAGAAAAAAAAATGTATATATATATATATATTTTTTCTGACCTTCTATTTTGGAAACAATTAACATTAAGCTGTGTTCATCAGCCATACAAACATAAAAAAGCAAAAATAAAAAAAATAAATAAATAAAAATAAAATAATAATAATAATAGGTCTGTATTTTACAGATGAACCGTTTCCAGTGTAGATGTCCTACCTTGGCAGCCATGACCATGGCTGATCCTCCCCTGATGCCCAGGATGGGGATGTGTGTCTGAGCTGAGATGAAGTCCAGGATCTGAGCGATGGCCTCTTGGTCGGTGTCGTCACCAAACACAACCCCTTGCAAGGAATTCCGTGACATTTGTCCACAGATTCTATTGATGATGCTCTTGGGGTCAGTTTCATTCATGGTGACCACCTCCACTTTGGGAGGGTAGGGGATGTGGAGGAAGTCCTCCTTCTCCAGCCCTGCCCCCAGAGACACTTCAGTAGAGTTGCCCACCAGGATGACGGCGATACTGAGAGAGTTGATCAGTTTGGGGCTTATGGGTGGAAGTGCTGGGGATCCAGGAGAGAACTGAGGCGGGATGATGACGCCTCTCTGGGTGTTTCCTCCACGCTGGCCACCTTGTCCCCCTGGAGCACCCCCAGGCCCTGGACCTGGACCTCCACCTCTGCGTGACTCGCAGACCGGCAGCAGGAGGACAGACATCAGAAGCAGAGAAAAGGACAAGGACAGGAAGGTCGGTGTCAGCTGAGGCCGCAGAAGTGGTTGGCGCAGAGGAAGAGGAGAAGCTTGAGGGTGGTGCGGGGAGGAAGGAGGAGAGACAAAGTGCTTGTCCTGAAGATGGGAGGGAGAAGGGTGGAGGCTGACAAGCATCGTGAAAGGGTGTATGTGCCGGCCCTGAAATGAGACAGAGGTGGGAAGGGAAAACAAGAAATAAAAGGTAAACTTTAGAAGTGTTTAATGGTGTTGAACTTCTGGGCCTATGGTTTTCCCCTGCCTTCCTTTTTTGCTAATGACATTTTTTCTAAGTATAAATCACTACCAGGTTTGAACAGGAGGCAATTTTTTTTTTTTTTACCTGATTCTTTCTCACTGAACTTGTGGAGGTGAATGAACCTGGGGCGTCCTGGAGTTTAGTATCTTGCCTAGAGACACAGCTGAATGTGGATGTGTTCCCAGGGCTTCATATTCAAATGTAAACTCTCACTACTCTAGTACTACTCACTGATCAATGCTAGGTGAAACAATCAGAGCCACTTACCATTTGACAACACCAGTGTATGTCACGATTTGAAAAGCGCTAAGACGGGAAATAAAAAAATAAAAATACAGGTCTGTGTTTACACTCTGTAAAGACACAGAACTAAATGGAAAATATACCTCGCACAGAAGCATTGACCGTTTACAAAACTGCAATGAGAAAAGACAAAAAGATCGGAGTCTTCTGTGGGTTTTTATGAGCATTATTTGCCAGGAGGATTACAGAGAATACATGAATCACTAACTAGGCCTGGTGACATAAGTATCTGGTCCTTAACCACACACTGATCAAAGGAGATCTGTGAACGCCGTGTGACAACGCCACATCCATTATACTGTGCTGTGACTTCTTTGGAGGAGCCCTGCAGCAAACATCAAAGACAGAGCCCTGTGTGTGTGTGTGTGTGTGAGTGTGTGTGAGTGTGAGTGTTGATGGAGTGAGGAAGGAGCTGGCTGCATTTTGACAGATTGACAGTCTCACAGCTTTATGGACTGGCTGCCAGGCTAAGTGACCATTAGACACCAAGAATGGGCTCAACTTAGTCTCTCTCTCTCTCTCTCTCTCTCCCCCTCCCATTCCTTTCACTGTTTTTCATCCCTCCAAACCAGGAAACCAGTCACTGCCTTCAATCCACTGCCTTTGCTGCTCCTTTGGTTGAAGCACAGATCTATTTTTTACTCATTATTGCAGTTATTTATTGCCTCTGTGTTGCCCATACAAGGAGCCCCAGAGTGACGTATCGCACTGGTATAGTGTTAAAATGACAGAGGAGGCAGAGAGAAAAAGGAAAGTGGGAGAGAAGGAAAGGCAGAGTAAACGATGTAACCACAGGGAGGCGACAACCAGAGAGAAACACAATTAGTCATGGCCAGATGTAAAAACCCCGGTTCTCCCACTGTGTGTGAGCACATGCACGTCGCCCGTGCACCACGAGTTCAAATTCAGCAACACTACAGGCACGGATAACGACAAATAATCCAGATTAATACTGTAAAATTGTAAATCAGTCAGAGAATAAAGTGTGGTTCACGTTAGTTCACCTCAGTCTCCCTTCACCTTCACTAACCTTTGATTTATCAGACAAAAGGCAAAAGAAAAAATACAAAGATGTAACAGGAAGGATTCAGAGAAGAACAGTTTAAATCTGACAAACAAAACAAAAACAAGTCTAATCTGTGAAAGTGAAAAAGAACGAGCAAAGACAGAGGACGGCGATCAGTGAGGAAAATCAGAGGAGAAAATGTGATGTGCACATAAACCGTGTTTGTCTAAAAGCTCTAATTATCAGAGGTTTGTCAGGCTTAATTGCAGGTGCACAGGCTAATTGTAAACGGAGACACCACAGTGTGGAGGGGGGAGGAGGGGTGAGTGGGAGGAGGCCAGCTAAAAGACACATGGAAGTAAGAGGGAGAGACAAAAGGGGGAGACGGAGGTGGAGGAAAGAACAGCAGAAAACCAACCAAGAAAACCAGAGGAAGGAGTCGGGGGGGAGGGAGGGAGAAAGAAGTGAGGGGTGATGGGTGTGAAGAGGATACGCAGCTGAAGAAGAAGAAGAAGAAGAGATTAAATGAGGACATGATTAGCAGGAGCTGATTGAATAAAAGAACAGGGTGAAGTGGAGGTTAAAGAAATCTTCAGAATAAAGAAGAAAGAAGAAAAAAAAAGTCTTCAATCCACAGATGGAGGGTTGAAAAAAAAGGACTGATGAGGAGCAGGCACTGGAGGAGGACTGATGGAGAAAATGTCTTTTAAAAAATAATACATGTAGTGTGACAGTGAAGGAGGGAGCAGAGGAAGACAGTGACACAGTCAGAAACATGTTGCTGTATAACAGCAGAGCCCTGTTTCCATAGTAACTATTCAAATATGCCTCCATATGAGACTGTGACGGACAGGAAACTACACACAAACCAATGGGCGTTTACCCTCTCCTCAGAACACACCGACTTCCACCTCACACCACATTATGTCGTCCTCAGAGTCGCAACAAACAAGCCTGAATTTCAGGATGTGGACGACGAAGTCCAAATCGAAACCCAGCATGGAGATCTCAACGCAAAGCATTTCATTTTTTTTCTCTTAGTGTTCCAAAACTGGAAAACTAGTCATTGATATTCCAGGTTTTCCAGGACAACCTTGAAACATCAGTCAATGTCAAAAATTATGCACAGAGGGTTTGGTGTTTGAGAATCACCTGCGGCGAAAAACCTGCACTTTAAACAGAAATGGAACTTCAGCTGGAGTCAAACGCTCGCCTTCCGTCTCCTCTGTGGGTATTTGAATATTTTTTTAAAATTCTCCAAAGACTTCCATGTTGACAGAAAAATTTGAATATTTTAAAAAAAATCTCCAAAGACTTCCATGTTGACAGAAAGATTAAAATGTATCAAGAGGTGTTTGTAATTGCGGGAGAGAGAATTATTATTATTATTATTATTATTAGTGAAGGCAGTACACAGCTGTAGGCAAACAGACGGCAGCACAGGAGCGGCCAGTGCATTTAAATGACTCAGGTCGTCAACATCAGTCCCAGATTAATAACACTCAAACGGAGGACGTCAAGAGCGGATCATTGACATGCGACATCATTTTTCCAAAGTAAAAATAACACAGCGTCAACAAGTTCAAGCTGACAATGTGAATTTATGTGCACTTTTGCATCCATTACAGCTCAACCGAGCAATTAAAGTAGCACATGTAGCACATGCAGTACAGGCAGTACAGGCAGTACACAGCAGCGTACACCCACACGTATGTATTGTTTGTATACAGTAATTTAATGGAGATGTGACTAATGTGTGGAGACACATCATGAAACGACTGTTAACAGATCACAGGGTCAAACGCTGCGTTCAGATATCTGCACCCTGCAGGAGACAGAAACACACACACACACTCACACACACGTAAGTACACACAGTAAAGGCCAGGTGGTCAGGTGTAGTTCAGGGTGTTGAACTTCATCTTCAACATCCTATAGAAAAAAAAGACTCCCATCAGTCGTACGCTCTTAACATTTACAAAGATTATTGATCACGGAGCTCTGTCAAGTGGCACAAATGAAATAACCACAGCTGCACGCACACGCACTCACGCACACGCCAAATCTGCCAATACAGATTTCACACAATCAATCAAGCAATGGAGTGTGCTCCCTGTTCAACACCTTCTCCGATAGCTCCCGCAGTAATTATTATTTGTGGACTCAAAGGGTCACATGTTCTGGCTGAATACTGCAGTAGATTCACAGTCTTTACTGCGTCGGCCGCAGCAGCCTGAGAGACGGGATATCAGAACCTGCCACGCTATTTAAAACACACGTAGGCCATCGCTATCAGAGTCTGCTTCATCCCCCGGGAGTGTGTGGTGGTGGGCTGCAGTGTGGAGCACTGGAAGACGTGGTGGATAACAAAGGCTGACAGGTTTGTCTCTTAAGGAGCCTTTCTACATTCAGTGGGTGGTCAGTTACAGGTGTGAGTGGTATTTTTAAGCCTTTATTGTAAGGCCTATACTGTACTACTGAAGGAAAATACACACATCACTACTGACTGGGTGAAATAACAGAAGTAAGCTGAGGCAAAGGGTACACATATACAGTACATATGCATACATACATATATGTAAATATACAGTATATATGCATACATACATATATGTAAATATACAGTATATATGCATACATACATATATGTAAATATACAGTA